CTAACAACAACAACAACAAGGAATGAGTGACTAATAGAGTGAGCAATGTCAACAACAAGAACAAGGAATGAATGACCAATGAAGTGAACAATGTCAACAACAACAACAAGGAATGAGTGACTAATAGAGTGGGCAATGTCAACAACAACAAGGACAAGGAATGAATGATCAATGAAGTGAACAATGCCAACAACAAGGACAAGGAATGAGTGACCAATGAAGTGAACAATGCCAACAACAACAAGAAATGAGTGACAGTGAAGTGAACAATGTCAACAACAACAACAACAAGGAATGAGTAAATATGTATAACAATATTGATAACATCATATTTATTGATTATTTTGATAAGTAATGCTATGGTTGACATCCGATGATAAGTATTCTTTCATTTGCGTAGTTTCGTTTGCAAAAAATATTTCATTAAAACTGAATTGCTTAAAAGTTGTGAAAGAAAAAAATGATCACTTATCGAAATTTTTTCTACGATAATCATTACATAATTTGGTTTCAGCACGGGTGAAATCTTCTTAAGAGAATATTTAAATGTTACTTCCATATTTGAATACTGTATTGGTTACCGTAATGTCGTTATCTTTTCAAATTCAACTAAAATTTGACAGTAAAAAGTATTTATTTCATAAGTGAAAGTTCCACTTACGTGGGCGTCAGTGGTGTAATGGTCAGCATGGTTGCCTTCCAAGCAATCGACGGGGGTTCGATTCCCCCCTGACGCATAGAAGACTCTTTCAAAGGAGCCTAGGGTTTTGCTTCGTGGAAAGGAAACATGTTGTACGTTTTGATTACCATTTAAAATGTTATATAAATTAACTGCAACGTACAATATATTGTTGTATATTTGTGAGACAATGATTTGATGAGGATTTTGAACTTAAATTTCTGGAAAAATCTCTTCAGGATATTCGAAAATGCTATCGCGATAAAAAATAAATTAAATGCGCAACGACCTGAGATGACGCTTGATTAAAATGAATTATTTTACAATTACTGATCATTTTGCATTTGATTACTTCTAACTGGAATTGTGTGACACACTAAATGACCAGATACTTTTATTGCTTCTCAGAAGAAAGTATTAAGTAAAATTCCAAGATTATTGATATTATCATTCCCAGGTAACTATGATGAATACCAATGCATCTTATTTATGAACTCTTGATTCATGATGCATACATTCATTTAGCAAATAACTTCCTTGGCATATTATTTGCTACCTTCTACTCCCAAGTTTTTAATTGTCGGAAAACTAAAAGTAGCTTTTCATAATTTAGCTATGACTCATATGATTAGTAATATTTAAATTTTTTTCTCTTTTTCGCCCATCCATATTAACTGTCTATATACAATAATAAATAGCCCATTGTGACAGTGCCTTACCTATTACTGTATCGCCTGAGAATTGTATTGTAAATTCCTCTTGTTGACGTTATGCATGTGTATATGTATCTCTCCTAAACAATGTAAACCTCTTTCACTTATAAGGGTTTGAAAGGGTTCATATCCCCATCCTTATCCTTTGATTTCAACTTGTCATTTCGTTAATTTACATTCATCCCGCCGAATTATTTTCCCCTATAGTTTGTTCTCGCATTGATTATTGTTCTAGATATATCGTTGGCTAATTATTTGATTGAATTCGCTGCTCATAGTTGCAACTCAAAAGATTCGAACTTTACGGCAGTACTTCAAAAGAAGTAAGTTTTTTCAAAGAATTTCCAACTCAATTTCCATTTGTATCATGCCACAGCTTCCGCGACACTAGTGCTTATCATTTGATCTAATTCGATTAAATTTCAGCCACATATAATTATTATCCAAGTTTTTTATTTTTTTCCTTGAAAGCATTTAAAGTTATTTTACAGTTGTTTTGTAGTTATTTTACAACGTCATTTTTCATTATTTTACAAAACAATACTTTTTCGAATTCGAAGAAATTTGCGGAAGATTTCCAAACGGTGCATTGCTTTCAACTTTGAAATTTAATTGTAAATTAAAAACTAGACAAATTTCTCGATATCTAAACGTATCAATGATAATGTATGTTACAAAATTATCATGATATTAAGTTTCTTATTTCTGAAATTATTCAAAAAACCTAACAATTCCAAAGCATTGACTCGCCTTCAATTAAAACCATTTTATGTCGTGGCTGTTTCATAACTTGTAGCATGCATCGATGACGCAACACTCCTGCAATAATTGAAATTGGCCAAATCATTTCTCTCGACAAGATGTTGGCATGTTCGGGGGGTAGTAAGAGATGTTGCAGGGTGCTAAGTTGGATTGATGTTAAAAGGATTAGAGAAATATAGAAATAGTAGTTGTAACCTCTTATGAGAATTGAAAGATCCATGAGAGGAAAGATTGTCTTGCATTATTGCTAAAAATCATTAAAAAATTTGGATTTAGTTGGCTGCAGAAATGAGCCCTAAAGAGTGACCAGTTAATAGCAGATACCAACTGTTATTTGTTCTTACAAATTCGGATTTCATATGTGCTGGTTAATTTTGCGGGTGTAAAATAGAAAGTTTCTGGAAAAATTGATTCGTATGAACAATACCATTTATTGATATCGTCAATTTCCTCTTTCTATCTGTGTAATTTCACGTAGACTGTGCGATAATGAAGTGTATAAATAAGGTTTTTTTATATGGTAATATTCATGTCACTTATCAAAAAACTGCAAAAAATTCATATTCATCGATGAATCCATCTGAAAAGCATCGTGAGTGCCTTAATGAATTTAAAAATGGCAGCGTCAAGGGCGATTTTTTTTTTTGCGTCAAGGAAGATAAGCTGTTTACTGGAACTTCAGTTTCTGTAGATTTAATTGTATATCCCATGCTGGAAGAATCTCATGTAATGGATCTTAAAGTTTTTCTTTTTTTTTCAAATATCTGATTTTGAAAGCTTAGAAAAATTGACTATCGTTATTTCATTTGACGCTTGAGATTATGATGGCATGATAGCGATTTCTACTCCGGTAGAGGTCCAAATCTTGCTTATGTTGCAGGAACAGTGTTTAATTCCCGTGCAAAGCGGGAGTTTTTTTTTTCATTTGGTAGCAATAAAGATTATTTTTGTTTAATTTTTATTTTTGCTTAGTTTTTAAATTGCAAAAATTCAATTTTTTAAATTGAAGGACAAGCTAAGATTAGTTTGGCAAGTACGAAAACTTGGTAATCTCTTTATATTCATTTTTTTTTGGATTTTTTAATTGTATGTCGGATTTCAAAGCCTGTGAATTTTGAAACCATGCAAGTCTGAGCATTGTAAATGTATTTTCCGTGTCCTTCGTTTGCTTGATCACTCTTAAACCAGTAGTTCGTTATTCACGTTAGTTTCCTGTGCTCACTGTTTTAAATACATTGTAACTTAAGATACCGGTATGATTAATCAGTTTCCATGGTGCATTTTTTCAATAGATTGTCTTCGGTGCATATTTTCATCCAGTCATATGAAATAAATATTTCTATAAATAATTCATTGAAGCAGTCAACATCCGGTACAAATAGTAACCGCACATAATATTAACAGAAATAATGGAAGTGTTTAATAAAGTTCATGAGGGAATATTCGGCGGGCAAACATGCTTTCATGTGTAAGAGATTGATTTTCGAATTTCATGGATATCCGTATGCATCTTCTTTGCGTACCAGATGTAATAAATTTGCAGGAGTTTTTAAACAGCTCTAACCAGTGAATGTATAAATATATATAGCAGTTGTGATTACCCGCAATGATTCTGCTGGATAAATGTTTGGAACTTGTATTGGATTGTTATATACGGGAACATTGTGACAGGCAGCGAAAGTATTCAATTGGTGGTAGCGCTGGCTTTTTAATTGGTTCCAAGATTTGTGAGGATTTTTATGTGGCACACATTGCAATGTGCCCTAATCCTGACACTATGCAAGATGAGGTACCATTTTTCCAAGCAGATCAATGCAGCTAGACTTATCATTTGCGGTGCTTTTTTTGCACGTTATTAACAATTACTTTTTTCTACTATGGTCAGGACTTTATTGCTCCGTCGAGTGTTTCGAAGTGAAATCTAATATTGTCATGTTGTGAAATGAAACTGGAGATGTACATTGGGTAGGATCTGTTGATAATACTTCTTGTCATTATTTTCTTTTTGCAGTTAAAAACTAAACATTTTTAAAGGAGAAATACATTTCGCGGACTGGTGATATTTATTCGAAATCAGTAGATGATGACTGGATTGCTGATATCGGGTCGCGTGTTTTGAGGTTTTTGCCTGGTGGCACCATGATAGTTGGTAAGTGTTTTTGATAGTACATTTAGCAAATAGTAAATATTAATTATTAAGTTTACTGGATTCAAAATCACTCCTATTTCTTTATGAAATAATCACTCTCTTATAGGTAGTTTGTAATCTCAGACTACGTTAAATTGCTGTATTTTTTTAATTTACTGGTAGTCGCTCAATGATTGATTTCAAAATATGTAATAAATATGGTAGAATCAAATTTAGGTCTTCATTTTGTTGTTTTAGGTTTGCTATGGTTAGCTGATTCAAAAATATCGTTGCAGTCACCACAAATTCGTGGGATGCTTGTTCGAGCACTTTCCCAGATAACAGTCCGTCATAATGCGCTCAGTTCTCTCAACATCAAGCCTGTTGATAATTCTTTGGTTTGTTCCTGTTTTTCTTGCCTTTTGAGGTTTAACTTGATCATTACAAAATTCTGGATAAGATTAAGTTGGTCTCATATTGGATTAACTTTCATACATAGTACTATATTTTTGCCTTGGTTATTTTATTCATCGTTTTCCAGAATACAGGGTCTAAGATTTTGAAAATATGGAAGAGATACGCTACAAAGTTTGGATAAGTTTTTGCAGTGAAACTATAAATTTTAGGCATTAGTTGGAATTGAAACACCATTGGGGAAGCCGTTTGGATGCATTGTTGATTGCAGTCGAAAAGGTGCTGTTGGCTCACAAACCAAAGTGAGCTTTAGTCAGGTATTCGTAATTTTTATGTTTAGTTTTCGATTGAAATAAGAATATATTTAATTGGTTAATAGTCATGTGTATCTGTTCGTAGTAGAAGTATGGGTAGTTTAAAAAAGTAATCTTTATTAATTTATTACTCGTAAGCTAAACTAATGTTCAAGTGATATATGTTTGGGATTTTATATCTTGGATGATGTTTTTGTAACAGTGTATTGTAATTATTTAGAGATAGAGTAAAGCGAGTTATAGCTCGCTGCATGTTGCTTATTGTAGTTGGAATGGATACGGTTGGAATCATCTGCTGCTTTTCGATTATCGGAACCTCTGACCGATGGTGTTTGGGATTTTCACAAGCAGTTTACAAGTGCAATACATGATTGGGCTGAACGTGTAAATGTTTTTATCATCATTTGGTTCTGTTTTTCTAAACTTCTAACTTTTAGATTCTTAAGAAAAAACTAATGATTTTCTGACTCTAAATTCTGAACTTCAAAAGTTGATTGATACTGGATAGGCTGAAAGTTCAAATAATTGTGCAACTTTATTTCAGCTTTTGAAAACAGATTTAGCATTGGTGAATGGCTTGTCGCGACGAAGAGATGAGCTTTTGAGGCCTCGTGATCGGAAAAATCGAGGACCGACCACGTTTGATATTGAAATATTTCTAAATGCTGGTGTGCTTCATCAAAGATTCAAATAATTTATGCTAACATGCTTCTTTGTCATACAGAATAACTGTGCACTATACCTCTACCACATTTGCATTGATACTTTAGTTCTTCATTCATTAAAACAAATTAGATAGGATTTCAATATTTGAAATGAATAATGCAAGGAGATGGAAGAGTAAATGATTAGAATTTGAAAACTGGTACAGCTACGAATTATCTATACCATCCTCAGAAGGCAGCTGTAATCTTTCAGATATATAGCGAATCAAACTAAGAAGCTGTTGAATGATATAAGATCTAAATATGTTATGTCTGAATAAGCAAAGTAATTACGACGAAATGAAATTCTAGACGAGAAACATGATTCGGAAAACCAAATGATATCTTCATTCTGCATCATTGATTTGATCGTAGATACTATTGCAAAGGCAGCAGTACCCAGTAAAGCTACCATTGGTCAAGCAATTGATGCTGTTAAAGAACATATAATAAGGTCATTATGTAGTAGAGCTGGTAAGTTACCTCTTATCATGTCATGAGCAAGTAATGGTTGAAGAATTTTTGAGTTTTGTCACATTATTTCATCTTTAGAATATCATAATGATCTGCATATTTACTACAGATATCTTTGACTATTGATAATAGTGTGAACTTAACAGATTATTATATTTCTGGATGTAATCGGAAATTGATTTCGAGAATTTCATGATGGTAACTGTTTGCTTCAGTTCATCCGCAAATAATTATTAGTTGTTTCAATGTGTAACCTTATGCATATTTCAAAGAGCTTCATTACGAAAGTACGGATGTGATCGAGGATGAGCCAAAGGATCGGTTGGCGGTACACCAGTTACCTCGTGCTGCCTATGTTTCCTTACCCAGTCAACCGGCAATCGTTTTCACGGATTACCTCTTTGAAAGTGATACAGCGAAAGATGCACAACAGTCTTTCGCGGAATTTCTAACTCTCAAAGTTCCTGAGGGTAAGTAATATCTTTTATGGATTATTTCTCAGACTTTCAGAGTGAACTTTATTTAGAATCGGTAATTCAAAGGAAAGTTTTGTTTTCTTCAAATTGTAACTGTTAGATATGATGACTTGTTATAGCAGACATTGTGTTAAATATGTGAATTCTAAACAAATGATCTTCAGTAATATTTTTATGTTGACTTTCTATATGGTTCATTTCTTATATCATTAGCTTTTCGACTTGAATTTGATAATTTGTCTAGAAAACTGGAATAAATGAAATGATAAATATTTAGATGACATTGATGTAAATAGCGAACGCCATTTGGATGGGAGCGATTTATTGAGCATGTTAAATGAAGACGATAGGCCTAGCCGCGTGGAACGATCCAGTTCATCGACATCGAGCTTAAGTTCCGTTGTATTACCTCCAATATGTAAAGTTGGTGACATAACTTCGCTAAATTACTATTTCCTCATTGCAGCACTTGTTGCTTTGTTATCTTTTGTTGTCTATCTTCTGATGAAAACGATATCTTCTTAGCAGTTCTATAATGTCATAACATTTAACTACAAATGATCATTTCATCTCTGTGAAATTCTCCGTAAGTCTGGTTCGAGTTGACCAAATGTAAATTTATGCCTAACTGATTGTTATTCGGCTTTGTAAACGAAAGAAAAAATGATCTTATGGGAACGAAAAAATTAGTTTTCTAAAATTTTTCCCTGTCTTTTCTTTTCGAATTGGGTTTACCGGTTTCATATCAGTTTCAATTTGATCCTGGTTTTGGTAACATGATTGTCAATTGCTTCACTAGAAAAGCTGGCATTTCTTGCTTATGTATCTTGTCAGGACGAAACTTTTTTCCAACAGTTTTCTTTTAGTTTTGGCTTTGCAATTTTACCGGTAGTGCAATAATAAATTGATTATAGTAACAGTATGATTTATAAAAAGTTGGAGAAACTGCTTATCTTTAAGTTTTTTAGAATATCGATGAGATTAACTTTATGTTTATGTGAGACAATTCGTACAAGCGAACCCTTTCCAACCGTACCCATTTGAATTCATTGCATAGCTGTAATAGTTTTTTAAACTGTATTAACTGCATTTTTGCCAGACACTTTTAGGTTTTCACTCTGTCGTGTCTGCTTCATATTTTCCTTCTCCAGAAACCAAATCTAAATGGTAAGTATGATTTCTTTTCTTATCATTTTCTTGGAAAAATGCTTTAAAGTTGTTAAGAATAAAAGATGACGAAATGCTCCCGGTTTTGTCTTACATTTCTCTTATTTCATTAAAAAAATACATCCTTCTTGTTCATTAAAAGAATTTTTGCATTTTTTGTTGAACATACAGTTGATGATCACTCTTATATATCTCATTCTTGGTTGATTAATTTATTGTTCGTATTTTATTTTATTTTAACATCTGAAAAGAAATAATTTTATTTCGAATTCTTATTTATCGCAAGAATGGGTTTTTTTTTTTCTGATAAATGGTGGCAAATAGAACATCCAATTCAAGATCCATCTCTATAATGTAGCACTAGGCTAAGCTTGGTTATTCTTATTACTAAATCTACCTGCTTTATTACCCAAAAATCCTTGTTAAGGTAATTTGAATTTCGGGTTGTAACTCTTGAGGGAATTTGATTTGGTCGAATAATGTTTTATTAGCATGTTTTATACTCGAAGGAACCTAAATGATTTTGAAAGCATCGGGAATTATTTACTATGCTCTTTTTTCTTTTTTTTGACGTCGTTTTGTGCCGTTTCATTTCAGGTTGCTTTAGGTTGAATCCCAATTCATGATGAAGAAATGACATTGACTAAGGCTCAAATATTCGGTATATTTCTTCCTTTATTGATTAAAAACGGAAATAATAAAGTAGAGTTTTCATATGTATTTTTGAAACAGAAGGGGAGGTCAGTTATGTGATGTGAATTGATTCGAAAATTTTAAGCTTCCAGACGTCAATCTGAATGAATTAACTCTCCTATTTGGCCTTCAATTTTTTGTAATTTCAATGGAATAATTCAAAATTAAATGTAGGACTTTAAACGAAATTAGTTGTAGCTTCCTTTCAGGCTCCTTACTTTCAAAGTCGAGAGCTCTAATGCAATACTGTCGATATAAATCATGCTATACAATTAACGACAGGTTGCAATTTGAAAATGATGAAGAAAATGAGGAAGAAAAGGAGGTACGATCAAAGTATGTGTTTCGATCACGTTTACCGGTTCTTATCGATAATGATTATTTTGATGCGACATTCCAGTATGAATATGATAGGATTTGTCGCGAATGCTTTGCTTGGGATTCGGAGATGAATACTGTCAAAACAGTATGGTTAGTGAATTCTGATTTTGAAGTAAAATTAGTGTAAATCTTATAAAATTTATGGTATTCTTGAATTGATTTTCTCCAGTATTGAAGTGTCCACTATTAGTTTTCTGAAATACCTGAAGAGAAATAATTTTATGGTGACCCAATTTACGACTTGGAAATTAGTGATGATCTTCCTGATATTATTGTGGTGCAACTCGAAATAAGTGATCAAGATGCAGATATATTTTGCATGAAAAAGCTATTAAACATTTTTCTAGTTTACTTTGACAAGTTGATTACGTTTTCGTTTATTTTCAGGGATAGATTGAAACCACCACCACAGGAGAAAGTTGAAGATTATGTATTGATGATTGGAAATTCACGCTCGCTTCCTTGGGCTCCGGTAAATTGTTGCTTAAAAAAAATGCTACTCTGATCTTTTCTCTCTAGATAAAAAGCAGGATATATTTTACTGAATATTTAAAAAAAACTCTTAGAAATAACGAACTTTTTAAGTTCACGATTGCAGAATGAGTGGTGTATAGAACGAGCATTTGACTGCTACCGGAATAGGCGAGATGTTACTCGGATTCATGTGAGCATTTGAAATTCTTTTGAAGTAGAAATTTTCTTTTACTTACACTTTATTTTTGTTGGCTTCATTAGCTTTGATTTTTTACTGAAGAGTGGTTATTTGATCTAAATTGTTTTGGATATACGATCGATGTTGGGAATAATGTTAACGTATATGTTAATAAATCCAATTTTGATCTTCTTTCCAGTTAACCATAAAATATTTGGAAATGTTGAAAAGGTTGCCGAATCTGAGAGTTGGTGTTATGTTAGATATGGCTCATCATATCCAGCAGAAGATTCTAATAGAAAGGACTCGGAAGTTATTTGAAATGGTGTGCCAAACATATTATACTGTAAGTTTTGAATATGTGAAGGTTGAAATATACCATCGTTTTTCGTTTGTGATCTAGTAATTAAATTCGAAACTGTTTGAGGTATGAAACATTGGAGTATTTTTTTATGGAAACCTTTTTTTTCTGTTGAAATTCCTTCACTTTTAGGGTGACTTGACGAAGTTAATAGAAAGTGATGAAAATGCTAAACCTATTGTGGAATACATGTATCAAGTCGAACAATTAGAAGCTGAAAAGCGTGAGGTGTTAAATATCACTGAACATGATATCGTCACTGTTGCTCCAGGCCTTTATGGTCAGTTTCTGTAGTTGATTCCAAATGCTGATATCGAAAAAATATCAAATTTTTTTATCATTCTAGAAAATTGCAATGCCATCTTATTGGTTTTTTTTTTCGTTTCGATACATTCAGCTACATCGAGTTTACGATTCAGCAGAGATAGAAATGTCAAACTTTCCTAGGTGGAAAAATAAAATCGTTTTTATTACCTTCAAAATTGATTGCTCTCTGAGTATTTCAATCTTCTTATCCGTTCTGTAGATTTTGCTGTTATGACTCGGGATTTGTTCTCCGGATAAGTCGGAATATGAGACATGTTCTTGAAAATTTCGAACTTTATATGTGTGTTTATTTGTTAATTAATATATGTACTGTTTATTTATTAGCATGTCTAGTATCCGTTAAATTTTTTCTGGAGATACTTGAATTGACGATCACAAAATTATACGTTTTTTTCCCTAATTTAAATGATTGCGAATAATATGCGAACATTTCGATTTTGCAGGTGCCATTCAGGATTTCTTTCGAGTTTACTTTGCAAGCACTTATTCGTTATCAATAACATGTTGTGCACTGCATCAGAAAAGCATTTTGTATCGTGTAGTGAGTTTTCATTGCATTAAGGAAACTACCTTTTTTAAAGTTCATTCAGCACCTAAATTTTATTGATTTTTTCCAATATTCAAAAAGTGATGCTTCGATATTATACCGTCAAATGTATCGGATAGTTTTATAGGCTGATCAAAAATATAAATTAATGAAGAATCAGATTGCTATGCCGTATGAGTACTCGTACAATGTGCCACACTTGGTATTCGGTAATTTTGGTTACTGGTATTCACGAAGAAGAAGACAGTTCGAACTTCACGATCTTCATATTTTGGCTTTCCCAGTATTGCCTTGGTATAAAGATTTACCCGGTACATATGGGAAGTTCTTTTCACCAAAATATGAACGAATCCCGTTATCCACAAGCATTTTCATTTAGGTATTTATAACTTATGAAGAAAAAATTTGTTCAATTGCACTTGTATTTTATATATTTTTCTTTTAATTTCACGAATTAGGCATTTTTATTAAGGTTGACGATGATTTCATTTTCATGACATTAACGATTTGCGCTTCTTATGTTTCTTTGCTGATTCATCTCTTTATGTATAGGAGTAAAAATAGTGTAGCATAGAAGTATGAGATTGTTTTCACTCGAATCATAGTTCAGATTGTTTTCATTTCAGTTAAAATTTTTTTTCGTAATTATACTTTGTTTGAAAATTTGTTACTTTGTTGTTTTGCTTTTTTTCTTGCTTGCTATTTAATTAATCAATGGTACATATAGGATGCTGCCATTTTATTGTAGTAAATACTTTTAGTGATATTTTTGTTTCTATTGCATGAGTATTGGAGTAGCCTATCGCTATCACTACCCAACGTATCATCCATAAATGTTTGTGGAGAATTTAGTTATCGAAAAAAAAAAGCAACAGTAATGCAAATAAAGACATAATAAGAAGTACGAAAAATGGCGTACTATCGCTCCATTATTGTTTTACATAATTTAAGAGTCATCTAAGGGGAGTAAAAAAGTTTTCCTTCTCTATGATTCTTAATAATTCATTAATTACTGTAATATTTGGTTCTTTTTTACTTTGGACTTATTTATGATGATAATTTAATGGTTTATTTTAATTACTTTTATTGTATGCAAGAATTTCTACTTACAAAATTTCATTTCATAAAAATATTTGAGCATATGATAGTTGAGGATATTATTGATTGATTAAAGAATTATTATTGAATAAATTAATAATTGATACTACGAAAGTCTTTCTTTTTTTTTAATGAATTTTTTTCTTTTTAATGAATATTTCTAATTAAAAATATAACAAAATTTTGTAAAGGTAGCTTATATTATATTACTATTGTTGTTTATTTTAGATTTTTATTTTAATGTTCCAGTTTTGCTCTAATTTGCTCATTGACAAATTACAGCACGAATTTCCGGATGATATATTTTTATTTTCCAACAACAGTTTTGGGAAGCATTATTATGAAACATAATATATGTCTAATACGATTTAACATTACTGACGTATAAACTATGTTTACCTATGATATACTTATCTATTATAAATGATGAGAAATACTGAGAGAGGTGGCATGTAATTGATGAAATGAAAAAGGAATATTAGAAGGAGAAGATTTACTATAGATATAATGGGAGAAAAGCCAAACAAACTGAAAAAAAAGTAATCAAAAGTGATTGTTGTTTTTTTTTTTGAATTTGGAAAGTTTGTCATTTTTATGGCATGGTTGATATTTAATTATTAACAATGGTAGATATGATTATTGAATTGATATTAATAGCATTAATTGTGGATGTGATTTTTATTTGTTAGCTGATATCTGAAATGAAAAAAAAGGGTGGTGAAAATTCAATAGTTAAGGATATATTCATGATTTGTTACTCATATTTACATAATTAGCTAGCTATCATTAGAGCAATGGATTTTGTAATCAGCATCTCAATATATTCTCATTATATCATTATTATCACTGTTGTCATCATTGTTATATTGTCATTTTTATGACATAGTTAATATTTCAAAAATTAATTATTAACACTGTTGTCATCATATATATATATATATATATTTATTTATTTATTTATTTATTTATTTATTTATTCATTTATTTATTTATTTATTTAATTTAATTAATTTATTTATTTATTTATTTATTTTTCATTTATTTATTCATTTACTTATTTACCTTATTCATTTGTTTATTTTTTTTTCATTTGTCTATTTATTTGTTTATTTATTTGCTTGTTTATTTATTTATTTCTGTGGTTATATTTGTTATATTTATATTTATGTTTATATTTATATTTATATTTGCATTTATATTTATGTTTACACTTATATTTATATTTATATTTATGTTTAT